TCTGACTGTTGCTTGGAAATCAGTGTGAGACTTTCATGGTCCATTGGGAGCTTCAGGTGAATTAAGTGTACCATTTCTACACAGGGCCTGCTATGATCAGTGGCTGAGGCAGCAACTGATGGGAAGAAGCAACTTGATAGCAAGTCTTCGCAGTTCTTCCACTTGGTCATTATCACTTATTTGTCTTAAAACAGCTATTCCTAGTGGCATCGATAAGCAACTTTGGAAGTTCTAGTAGCTGAATACAACACATACTTTACGTGGATAGTGACATGTTTCTGGAGAAGTCTGTTCCATGTATCCTTGTTAAAGAGATAAGGATCCTAACACATCCTTTTCTTCTAGTAGAAACTAACAGTTAAAAAGCCCTGTAACATGGCCAGTCTTTATGTGTGACCCTGCATTGTCTCACTGCGGTAATGGCAATGGAAGGAGCAAGTGAGGCACCTGGATATCAGTTCAAAACCTCTAGGTATTCAGTGCCTGGTGGCTCTAACCTTACTAGGATTCATGCACTTTGCCTTCTCTTTTTTAACTCTTTCAAGAGAGGTGATGACTGCAGCTGAGGTTCAAAGTTCTGCTGCTCTTTCAAGAAAGGGAGCAGAGAGAAGCTCAAAGATGTTGGAACATGGGTACCAACAGCAGTCTTGAGACCCACAGGATTAGTTATGCCATTTGTGGTGCTAACAGGCAGGAGCCATGCATGCTGCAGCCGGTGACTATATTGCAAGGAACCTCTGCAAGCTGGAACCTGCTGAATTTCCCATCCTTGAAGCCGTTTTTTTCCATTTGATCAATTCCCAGTGTTGTATCACTCTTGGAAATAACCTACAGGAACAAACAATGTAATACATTGAAATGGAATGAAAACCAGGCAAAGGCATGGGTGAGGTGCGGCAGCTACCAGCAAGTACTGAGCTGCCTTGCTCAGGGCAGCATCTGAAAAAACTAAGGTAAAGGTGGAAAGGGGAGTGGAATTTATTATCCAGGTTCAGCTATGTCTACATAGATTGAGCACAGCAGTGTAAAATGTGTTGTCTCAACACAGTCTCAGCTATGGTTGGTCAAATTCAGATGAGGTGATATCAGGCGGTAGGTACTCATTGGTCCCCTTGGGGGAGAAAAGAAAGGTGGAGCACTCATGGAGCTTCCTCAAGTTGAAAGATTGAGTCACTCAGCTCTATTCTGCTACAAGTAGTCATGCAGTGAATGAGATTAGATATGTAATCTGTACTGATGCTGAAGTGGTAGATGAATAAAGGAGGTTGCAAAAGGAACAGAAATTTATTAAAATGAAATTGTGTCTGAAAGTGAGTAGAAAACACACTGCATAAAATAATAAAAGCTCTGAAGTTAAAGGAGCTGAAATGTTGCGGACTCAGTACTTCATTGCCAGAGCTGTTTGGTGGGCATTAACAATGTCTCCCCATTTTTGAGTGAATAGGAAGATACATGTAACATTTTCTAGGTAAGACTGACATATATTAGGAGATAACTTTGGAAAAGCTCTTAGCTTCCAAATTTTTCTCTCCTCTTTAAAAAAAAAATAAAAAAAAAAATCATTTTCTTTCTTGACTTTTCAAATTTTGGTGAAAATTCGAGAATTTGTGGGAATTTTTGGAGGTTGAGTCCTCTCAAAAAGTTCATCCATAGTATAAAGCAGGTACCAAAAGTACAAATATTCCATACTACAAGAGTAGGGAAACTCTGAAAATTCCTTATCTCTGAAGCTAGACCAAGCTTCCTATCTTCAAAAGCCCTATGCTTCTTTCCAAATAAATATTCAAATTACAATACCCATGGTATTGTTATGTCTGAAGAAACAAACTGTATTTCCTAGAAAGCGAGATACTTTTTTCCAGAGGTATTCCCAATAATTTTAAAATACATAGAAGTTAGCAGGATATTTTTAAAAAACCCTACTGTAGTTCTTGTGCAGAATGATTTAATCAAGAGGCATCAGAAGGGGACTGCTGGAAATCTGAAGATTTCTATTTGGTTCCTGGTTCAGTCACTGATTTTCTCATTTGCCCAGGTGTGAAATGGGGCTGATTTTTCCTCATCTCAGGTTGACAGTAAGAAAGCTGAGATCCTTACATTTTCAGCATGGGAGGACACAGGACTTGGGCTGCACAGACATAATTTAAACCCATTCACTGTTGTCCTTCACTATGCTCCTGCTTGCTCTGCTACAGAAGGTGTCAGAAAAGCCACTACCATCTTTACTCTGAGTTATTCAAACATGAAGTTCTGACACAATGACAACTGGTGCATTGCGGGAAAAGAGACGCAGAATAGAGCTCAGCTTTTTCATAATGACTACAGCTCCTAAAATGAAGAATACCAGGAAATGTTTTATTTTTCCTACTTAGCTTGACTCCAGAAGCACCAAAGTTGTACTGACCTAATTGACTCTAACTGCCCTGAAGAAAGCAATTCATAGGTAACTTCTGTCCAGTGAATGCTCTGTAGATATAGGACTGAAACACAAGGCTTAGTAAGTGCAATGAGAACTTGGATGCACTTCACCATAGACTTGTGGTTTCTGAAATTATGGAAAAGGCTGTGCATGAAATTAGACTCCAGATACATTTGCCTCAGAACCCGGTATTCCAAAATGTGCCTTTCTGGAGAACAGCCAAAATGACATAACCATGGAAATTAAAAGTCCCACCCTTTGGCTGAGACAGCTTTGAGATCTGCACTCTCACATTAGCCCACCTTCCAATGAGAAAGGCTTCACAGAGATATCCTTTCTCTCCTGATGCTCCACACTGTCCTGTAAGAGACCGGCACAATTGCATGCATTGCAGGAGAAAGGCACCCAGGAACTGATGAGATGAAGCATGCTTCCTTACAGCAAAGAGGCACACGTGAAGATAAAAGTTCGTCCTGAAAGAAAACAAGACAACGATGCAGCAGAAATCTAATGCAACCCTAGAGAGAAGGATGCAGCTCCAACACATGGGTCCAAGCGCTGACAGTCCTGCACTCAGAGATGTAACTCACAGCTCTGGAATTCTGGGCTGGAATTTGCTCTGGGCTATGTCACTGGCTCGCTGTGCCTGGCTGGACGGCAGCCACAGGAAGAGCAATGCCTCCCGGCAGCTCAGAGCGGCCAGATCAGCTTCCGGAAACAAGGTACTTAGGATTGGACATTTTCCAAGACATCTGGAGCAACTGGGCCTCTTACGCCAGGCCTCATAGTGATCTGGGACTGTTATACTGGTGTCCATATATTCATAACTAATTGCTGCAGCGCATGACTGCTTGGGACAAATGTGTGCTCCTAATTCCTCCTTTGCATCTTTTGACTTTCTTATCCCAATGAGCTCCTAATGGGAAGTGGTGTAGGCCAGCACACAAGAGGTCCAGTAGCTGGAACTCACCTGCACTTGTAGCATTCATGTATCTACCTTATTATTAAGGAGCTGGTAGGTGGTTTTCCACCCTGCTTGGCACCAGAATGTCTCCGTCTTCCAGCCTCCACAGGAGTTAGTATTGATTCCCCTTTTTACTGGAATGAATTTATTCTGCACAGCCCGGTGTTTCCACAGGACGTGCAGAGGCTGGAACTTCAGTATGAAGAACCTGATTCAGTTTTGCCATTCAGACTGGGTAAAATAAGGCTGAATCCTTCTCAAACACAGCTTGCCTGACTAATAGCAGCATCCCACACTCAGGATATTACATAGAGATCACAGTATTGTAAGTAGAAAAATAATGTAAATGAATATGCTATGAAGTACTTATGAGAGCCGTCTGAATACTGTCCACTTTGAAATATTGTGTTTAATGCCTGAGCTGATGCCACGCCTTCTTCCTGACTGCTAAAATCATTTAAACCCTGTGTAAGAAGACTTGGCCACTACTGACAAGCAAAAAATAGAAAAGCTATGCGTTAGGTGGCACTTTCCTCACTTATTGAGGGCTTCCATCTACATTTAAGCATTTTTGGTAAGTTAATTCTTCATTGCAAAGAAAATACTACGTGATATTAGATAATGGCAAGGGTCTATTGCTGTAACAACAAGAGAGAGTAACGCTAGAATGCCCTCCCCAAACATGCTCATTTAAATAAAGAGTACATATGAGAGTGACGGAAAAGCAAAAAGAGGCATTAGGGGAGTTACTCATAAAATATTCTCTCAAATATTCCAGCAATGAGATAATTACAAAGGGAACTGGCTATGTTTTCTCCAGGAACAGAACTATTGGTTTAATTTGCTAGAAATGCCTGGAGAAACTATAATTCATGAAAGTTCAAGTTTCTTCAAGTGGAACACCATGATAGAAAACCATCCTTCCTAGCCCAGAGCCACTGGAAAAGCGCATCTTGTGTATTCCATTTCCTCCAGCTTGAGTTTCAAAAACCAGCAAAGGTCAGTTGTCATTAGTTAGCTTTATGTTTTCTGAAATCTCTATTGTTGTAGAGTTTGGATTTCTCCTTTTCAAAAATACAGATGAAGTTTAATGAATAGGAAAGTATTTATTAGTGTTGTCCGTACATAAAAATATGTACGAGTTTGGCATTTCCAAAGAACACAGGAGCAATGCTGAGCGCAAGTGCTTTAGCTGCTTGAGTAAAGGCTTCGATCCTGGGCCTATGTACAAGCTTTAAGTGATTTTATCTCTGCAGCTCCGTTTACCTGACAGAAAATGTGTAATATGTGCTTCATACTATAGGAGAAAAGAGAGAACCAAAGTTTGCAAAGTTTTCTGACAGCCTTTGATGATATTGGAAAGCTGAAGCTCTCTAAAATTATGGAAAAAATCTGGAAATCTTGTCTCCCTTCTTTATCACAATGACAAAAACCTAACGATAATGTAGATCACTAGCAAAATGTTGCTTGCACTGCCTGAGAAAGCTGAAGGCCACAAAGCTGTGGAAGTCTTTTTAAAACTACTTTATAAGCAACACTTTGCCTGCATCCTGTGGGAGATCAATCTTTGACAAAAGCTTCTTAACACTTACAGAGAAACCAAGTTAGAGAGAGAGAATGTTTTGAAGTTTATTTTTCTTAACAATTTTTACATCAAAAATACGGTACATAACCAGGAAGTGCATAGCACTGAATTCATCACTTTGGCTAGCACAGCTCAAAGAGGGGCAAGGAGGTTACTTGTATGCTTGTGGGCAGCATGTGTAACATCTGTTGGTAACGCTTGTGTAGCAATCTATGCGCAAATAATATCCATAACATCTTCAACTATGTGTATATACAAAATCAGAAAAATATATTCATTTTTTTCTTATATACACTATATAACATGAGAATAAAATCTGTAGTTTGCAGTAACTTATATGATACCGGGCTTCCATGGCTCAGAGCTTTATAAACACTTCCTCAGCACTTTTTGTCTTGGACCATTGTGATAAAAAAGCTACAGAGAGAAAGAAAGCCTTCTGGACAGTATTCCTCAGCCACCTTTTTCTGATCAATATAATCTATGTCTTCTACACAGTCTTCAGGGCTGTGTTCTGGCTTTTTTTCAGTCACAGAGACAGCTGGTGGAGTCTGAACAACTTCTTTTGCATGATGCATTGTGTTCCTATTTGCAGGACCTGCTGATGTTAGTAGGCTTGAGCGGGTCAGCTTGAGATGAGCACTTCGTGGGCCTTTTCTGCATACTTTAGATTTTAGGACAGTTTTGGGGTCTTGGCAGATCTGCTTCTGCTTCCTTAGGGATCGGGAGACTTGCTTCCAATAGGATTTCTGGCTTGCTGCATACTGTGCACAGCTGGAAGGGTCTCCAGAGAATTCGCACCAGAACTCACCATCACCATGCTTGCATTCCACACGCACAGTAGAAGCATTCACGTCGGTCACTGCCCAGGTGCATTCAGCATTTTCTTTGGTTTTAAACTTGCCTTTAGGAGATGATTTCCCTCTTGATTTTTGCCCTTTTTCATTCTCTTGCTTAGATTCAGCTCGTTTTTTTCCACTGCCTTCTATGCCTTGTCTTCTCTTTTTTCCTTCCTTCTCTCTTTCACAGTTGGTCAGTAGCATCTGGGAGACCAGAATCAACGCACAAAGAAGTCCAAAGCTTTTGATCCTCATGGTCTCTGTGTTGCTTGTTACTGGCCTTCAAAACAAAAAAAGAAACTCCCTTAATGCTGGACTCCATTTGGCAGTTGCAGTATTTCAGACATGGTATTACACTGCTCTTTACACCCATTAAAAAGATGTTACCAGCAAAATCCTCTGTCCTTTGTTTAAATAATACCTGGTTTCTACAAGCATTACGTATTATCTTTGAGAACTGTAGATGGCTGTGGAGTAAGTCCTTCTGTCCCAGTTACTTAATTATCTATGCAATGTGGAACAAAAGGTAGTCACTCCCAGGACGTGTTACAGCCCAGTGACTAAGGTACCTTGATTAAAATCTCTTCTGCAGTCAGAGAAGGAATTTGAACCTGGGCTTTGTCAGTCATCTCAGATGGATATCTTAAGTTACAGAATACAAAGCAGTTGTGGTTTCCATGATCTCCCATTTTATAAGTGGCACATAAGTGATTTTGACTTCAACCTCTGGCTATTTTTCAAAAATATGTCACACAGAAAGGAAACCATTTGGTTCAAGTTAGGCAAAATTATATCTTAGGCATCTTGAAAATTGCTTCAATTCCCTGGTTATGCCAGCACTTCAGTTTAGTGGTAGAAAAAACAAGGTGGTAGTCTTTCCAGACACCAAAAAGTACCTGTTGATGTATTCTTTGCTGCCTTGACTGTTAAACAGAGTTACCTTTTGCTTTTGAAGCACCTGCAGTGTCTAAATCTCCAAAATTCAAGGGATAAATATGCAACACCAGTTTTGAAATGCAGCTGGTTAGCAAATAATTATCAAGCTGATCCCTGTGTCTGCACGGAGCGCATTTGTTTCTGTAGGTGTTTATGAAGCAGCTTTCAGGATCAGAGCATAACATAAGGGGGGGGGGGGGGGGGATGGGAGTGGAGTAAGGGGTGGGTTAAATTTGGCATTTAGTTGGTTAAATCTGTAAATGTATGTTTCAGATATTTCCATCATAGCCGTTTCTGTGGCCAAGTTTCTCTGTTAGAAAGCAGAAAATCGTGTGAAGGCATGCTAATAAGGAACCTGTTTCAGCACTCAACTATCTGCAAATACCTTTAGTTAGAAATTTAGAATCTAGGGTACATAGATAGCAGCAGATGTGAGCAGGTCCTACTCTTGCATTGCTTTTACTTGACTTGCTTCATGCCTTACACTGCACAGAGATTTTCACTCCATAAAGATCCTCTTTAGAGAACATCATGTAGTATTTACAGTTCTGTTGCTATTACAGCAATTAATACCATTAAAATAAATAATGATGTAACAGTAGCCTTCTGTTGCAAGCGGAACAGTGCAGAAGTAAGATAACTAAAAGACGTACCTTGCACAGGGCTTGGAGATATCCAAACGCAACTCCTGATACAACTGGTCTTCAAAAGACTCAAGAGCTAGTTGTAAAAGCAGCGTGGTATTTATAAAGGCAGAGGCACACCTTCAGGTCTCCAACAAGTCTATTACAACACAGTAGGATACTCCAGTGCAGCGTTCGTTTGCCTCTGACACACCTTCTTGGGAAAGTGCCAGTTCTTAGCATAAAAAAGGCAGAAAACCAGAAGAGCCCTGGTGGAGTACAAGGTATGCTTGCGTAATTTGGATGTTGCTTTGGCCAAGTCCTTCCCTCTTCATGAGCAATGATAAGAACTTTATCACATCCTGGGCTTCTCTACAAGAGCTTTTCCCAGCCACTGAGGGATGTATCTTGCAACGCCCTCAAGTTGCACCACAATGTGTTTAGCAGAGTTTGGGTAGTAGAGTTCAGTGGTTCTTTGTGAAATTAAAACAATTCCACAATGCGTTTCAAAACTACCTTTTGAACATTTTGTTACCTCCTGTCACAGCAACGTATTGGAGAACATTTAAAAATCAATATAAGTATGAAGTATTCTGCATTAAGGACAGCATTCATTATGGTGAGATGGTTATGAGTGCAAAGCTCAGAAACAAATTCAAGCTACCTGAAAATTAGTGACTCTCTGGGGTCTAAGAGCTGGGATCAACTGCACAGCACTGATTGATCTATGCTCCTCCCTCTCTCTGCCAGCTTTTGCATATGGAAACAAGCATGAGATTTCATTATGGGACTATATCTAATGCATATTAACCTGAAAAAGGTGGTGACAGTGAAAGAACAAGCATTAGAGAAGTTGGGAATAGGTATCCCTTAAAGAACTGATGGAGCAGCTAGTGCCTTTGTAGCTCAATTGCTTAAGGTGGTTTTACTGGCGAAAAGTAAGTGGGACATTTGCTACATATGCTTGGGAAATACAAGATTAAAAGGTGGAATGCCAGAATCAATAAAAGTAGAAATTGGTGTAAGATACAGGCAGGTCTTCCTCTTTGACTCTTTCCCATCAGACAGAAATAGAATGTGAGACAAAGGACAAAGCTATAGGCAAGGCATTGTCTAAACTGTTAACTTTCTGTAAAAAAAACCCAGAAACCAAAAAAGGAAGAAAAAGTGTAATTATGCAGTGAGTGCAGGACAGGGATGTGGGGTCTGATCTGTATGCTGGGATTATCTCCTTATCTATGTGTGTTCAGCTACCTTTGATGCTTTCCAGTTGAGTTCAGCCATCAGATCTGTCTTGTGCCCCTTTAATTGGCATGACTTAGTATGAAAATATTCACAACAGTCCCCTAAGTGGGAAAGATTTGTGATTAGCACTGGCAAAGGCTAATGAACAAGGGTAAAATGATTCAATGATCAGAAAATATTTAACTGTGTGTCAGGCCGGATGGGAACAGAGAATGAGGACAAGGTAAGAGATAAGCAAGGGAGGGACTATCTTGCTCAGGAATCCTGAACTAACATGACATAGTATGCAGAATATCATCTGAAATATCAGCATTTAGCAGGGATCCTCAAAACTGTGCAGCTGCCCTAACCTGGCTATGTGCCCTAGTTAATCAGGGCTATTACTTTGGGGACAAAGTGATGGCTACACTACCTCAGATTCTGGATCTAATTCAGGTAGGGCTTTATTATGCCCTATTGCCCTGTGTAAGCACATAAAAATAGACTTTTTTTGTGACATTAGGAGGGTAGTTCAGACATATCACAAAAGAGCCCCAGAAAACCAACACCAAACCACCAGCACACACCTACCTCTCTACTGTGGCTGAACAATATCTACAAGTAAGGAAGAGAGGACGGTTGCAATGTAGGGAAACAGGGTTACAGTGAGGAATTATGCATTCCTGTCCCAGCTCTGCCACAGACTTTTTCAGACATTCACTAGGAGATGCCAGATGTTCTTTACCTAGAAAGGCAATGTTCTTGTAGATAATGTTGCCATGATTTTTTGTTGGTGTTTACAAAATACCATTTACTGGTGAAACTAATCACAATGTATGGAAAATATTTAAGCCCTCCATCATTCATCACTTCTAAAATCACCTGTTTTGACAGTTTTGTGAAGCAAAATCGGTTTTGATGTCAGTCTTGGTTCAGGTGCTGATGCTCAGTTCAGCATTATTGGTGAGACATATCAGCCTAGCTTTCCTACTTCATAAAAATGAGGGAGGACAGGGAGAGAAAAGGCTGCACGAGAGAAGACTTGCCTTTCAGCTGCTTTGATATTCCTTCTATGAGGCCATGGCAGACTGGGCAAACATCAACTCTTCCTGTCTTTAGCATGCAGAAAACTCTATAGAGAATTCTGCAGTCAAATGGTTATTGATATGGGTGATTACATCTTTGAAATGATCCACCTTAGCTCAGCTAGAATTCTTGCTTACTCTACTTAGATTAGTTCAAAATCACAGTAAACCAGGATTTACTTATTTGGGTAAGTAAAGTATAGTCTCAGAAGAAGGAGGCTGACCTGGATACCCTGCAGGTTTTTTGCTATGTACCCAGAATATCTTTCTGGGGTTTTGTCAGTTAAACATGAACTGCTGTTTTAAGGATGTGCTTCACCTACCTGGGCACAAAGTATATATTCATACTGTACCCCAATAATTAATGCTGGGAGTTGCCTCATCAGATGATCAGAAGGTTTGTTTTCTTCATCGTGAAAAGGAAGTACACACAGTTAAAGTAGGACCTGCGTTTCATAGGTGCTTAATTAGCACTTAAGCATCACCAAATAATTGCTCCAAAACCAAAATGAACACTTCTCCTTCATACAGTAGTTATGTATGAGTGAAACTAACAGTTTAATCATCTTATTCATCATTTGTAGCCCTAGTTTGACTGATTACTTTCTTCATCTACAAATTCAGTAGTTTTTACTTGCAGTGTTATTCTTAATTTACTTGTTGGCATTATGTTGGCAATGTTTTAGTTAAAATAACCTGAAATTCATTGCTGCCCATGTGTTCTTTATCTTTACCAGATGAAGAAAAATCATGTAACACAGAGGGATGCTACACTGAAGTGCGTGTTTCATATTGATTTTTCCAATAACAGGAAGTACTTAACCTCAAAATCAGAGTTTTATGTATTTTCATTTAATTTTGGCTCTAATGGAAGTTATCATTTGTCTGCCTCAGTAACAGCTACAGACTGTACAAGCATAATCATTTCTTTGTCCTGTGGTTTTATTTGAGCAGGCTGCCTGCTTGATTTATTAGCATAGATATTCCCTATATTCAGGACGTATCAAGTTGTTTTGGCAGCCAGGGGAAGCAACTAATTGCTGTCTTAGCCTGCTAAAAATTCTATAGCTTAGAGCAATGCAAGAGTCTGTCTGTCTGACCAGAAAAGCTTCAGAAACACAACCACACAAAGGATTCCTCTCTTACAGAGAGACAAAATGAGTAAGATAATAAAAAGATGTTATTGTACATTACTGCCTGCCATTACACTAGAATCTACTCAGGGTAACAGCGAGTCATGCATATCTATAAGAAGGAAGAATTTGACACATGACATGAAATCGTCAGACACATTGCTAAAACACAAGGGACTCTCTTATGGGCAGTGCTGTTTACCAAAAAATTCTTTCAGTTGTCATGGATGCCTGATCTCTCTTGAAAGCATTGCAGTAAAAAATTCCCCATATGCTTATTCAGAGGAGTAGCTGAAAAAAGTCCTTGCATTAAGGCAATTCTGGTAGATTTGCTACAGGCAAACAGAGGTAAAAAATGAGATTGAACCCTCTTCAAATTCTACTCCACCTTCTCACAAAGGTAAGATATCTTTTCCTAGTGGGAACTTTAAAAGACTGAGGCACTTGCTCTAGGGATTTTTCTGGTGTATACGCAGTGCTCTCCACTGAATTACTTCCTCTATAAGTGACAAAGATGCTAACTGATCCTGGGAACCAAGATCAGCTGAGGCTATAGTGCGGTTTGGAACATCTATAATATTGCCTAGATCAGTGGTGCAATTCTGCTGCACCTTGGCGTGGTTGCAGACTGATACAGGATGAACATGAATGGAGTTGAAGACAGAGAATGGAGCTGAAGACAGAGTTTGCACGGGTAAAGATGTGGTATATTAGAAAGTCAATCTTTCCTAGCTGCTGACCACATTTTTGAGGTTGTGTCTGGGCTTCTGTAAACCACACCTGATCTGAACCAATATGATCAACAGTATTTTTCCCAAGGAAGATGCAGCAATTGTCTTTCCAAATTTACTTTAAGAAATCAATTCAACTTAGACTTCTTTTCAAGTTTTTCTCCAATGTAGACATGGTCAGAATAGATGGACTTTCAAAAGTCTGGTTTTAATATCAGTGATAGCTCTGGTCTTTGCCTGTTCTCATGAAGTTTAAAGCTCTCTGTAAATAAATTAAGCTGTACTAATAAACATACATGTGCATATATACACAGATATATACAAAACAGAATAAGCATTGAATAGCTTTCTCCCTTCCATTATAGTTGGATGGATCTGCCCTAAGAAAGTATGCTGTGTGAAGTCTTACGAGTTTACCAGTGCCTGGTAATTCTGTGGGGTTTAGCACTAGTTCCAAGCACAGCAAGATGTTTCTAGCACTTGCTATGAAATAAACACTCATTTCACGTACACTTTTTAAATATAGCGGGAAAATGGAAACCTGAACCAAGAAATTGTTCCAGGAAAACTGGGAACCCGGAATGGAAAACCACAGACTTTATGGTGTAGGAGACTGTGCTGGGTCTGGCTGGGATGGAATTCATTTTTCATATCAGCCCATACGGTGTTATGGTTTACATTTGTGACTAGGACAGTGCTAATAACACACTGATGTTTTAGCTATTGCTAAACAGTATCAAGGCCTTCTCTGATCCTCAGTCTGCCCCCTCTCCAGAGAGAAGGCTGCTGGTGGGCAAGAGACTGGAAGGAGACAGAGCCAGGACAGATGACCCCAGCTGACCAAAGGGACCTATGGGATATTCCTTACCAGATGATGTTGCATGCAGCAACTGGGGGTAGACTTTCCAGAATAGCTGTTACTTGGAGACTGTCTGGGCATCAGCCTTCTTGTGAGAGGTGTAGAGGATGTCTCTGCATCACTTAGCATTTTTTTCCCCCGTCCTCACTTATGAAGCTTTCTTTATCTTGAACCACATTTCTTTCTCTCTTCTGCTCTTCTGATTCTCTCCTCCATCCCACTGAAAAGGAGGGGTGAGTGGCTGTCAGGTGCTCCATTGCTGTTTTGGGCCAGCCACCTCAGAGACTTCAATCTTGCAAATAACTAACAGAAATCTTTATTTTTGTGGATTCCAGTTGGAAAGAAACCAACAGGGAGTTCAGTCCATGGGTAGAACTTCCCCTTTGCTAAAAATACTGATGGCCAAGCTACAGGAACAGTGCCTTGCTCCATGCCTCTAAGCCACAACAGTTTTCACAGCATGGACAAGAAGGCACAGTCACAGTTGTGACACCTCATTTGTTGATTTAGATTACTGTCTTTAGAAGAAACTATTCCAGCTACATGGAAAAGGTAATCTTGGGCTAACACAAGCTATTCCTCTCCAAGACATGTCAGCCATCATGGGCTGACTTATGCACTGACATGATTAGCCATAATGTCTATCCTCCATCATTTTATGGGTTATCCTTGAAACATAGTATAAGCATCATTTAAATGCACTTGGGCTGTAAGGCTCAAGAGCTCATATATGGAAGAGGCTCTGAAGAGTCCTGCTGAAAACTCAACAAGTCAGAAGAATGACTATATAGGTGTGCATTTCACAGCTATGCTGTGAACTGGCAGCTCTCAGCATTTTCACATCTGACATAGGTCTCTGAAGGCACAGAGAAAGGACAAAGAAAATGGACAAATCTTATCTACCATTTTCATTTTACCGAGATCAGCGTGTTTGGATATATAGTGAATAGAAGACATTAACAAAGAAGAAAGGTTTTTTGGCCTTTCCAGGTTCTAGTGCAACTTGTTATGGTTACCAAAAGCTGAAAGGACACGCATCCTTCAGCATTTATGATAGACTTGGGGTTTGACTAGTTAAGCAAGAGAAGATCTGCTGTCTCTGATTACATTGTTTTTTCAAAGCTTGGTGTTTTTCTTGGATCATTTCTAACTCTACAGCTCCTCCATGTGGAGATTGGTAACAAATAAGAAATCAGTGATCCTAAACACCAGGTATTAATACTCTCCTTACTTTTTAATGGGTTTGCAGAGGACTAGCAGTATTCTAATTGTTTAGTACATTCTTTAGAGGCATTCAACCCTGTTTAGCCAGAAACCCCATTTTCTGTAACGAGATGAAAAGTAATGCAGTAGTTCTGTAGATCATGATGCTACTGCTAATGCTATGGTGTTGCAATTCCAGTTCTGGTTTAAGTCATCATTTTTCCTCTGTTACCACATAAATTACACAAGCTAGCTTTTTACTCGTGTTTAATTCCATTTGTTCCTGTGTGCCTGTATAAGAATCTCACACCTATGTCCTACTTCATGCTATTGGGGAATTTGGGGATTTTCTCCAGTACTTTGGAAAGAGGACCTAAACCCTGGTTAACTAACCTGCTGGTTGCGAACAGAGCTGAAGGCTGTACTGAGTAAAGAACAGCCTTCCCATACCCCTTCCCACACTGTCTGTCCACAGCCTCTGGAAACCGAGTCCTAGATTATTCAGTATCTCGTATTATCTGTGTACTGATGATCACACAGTCCATAGGACTTCATTAAACAATAATAAGAACTAGGCTTGGGGCAAACTGTTGTTGTTCAGTAGTGTTGCATTAAGAGCATAGTCAGTCGCCAGTCACTATCAATAAGAACTGCCATGATTCTGGATTCATGGATAGTGCAGTTTATTGAAGCAACAGAAGCACAGATTCGAATTGCTGTTGACACATTCACTAACTGCGTTAGTGCTAAAATCCAAAGCTTGCCAACGACTGAGCTCATCTAGATGAAGAAAGCAATTGGTCATTCATTAAAATTAGTTCCCACCTAGTCAGAGGCACAAATTTTGCCAGAGGCATCCCTGCTTTGCGGAGGAGAGAGGAGCGAGCCCATCCACTTGTCTGCAGAGTGGGGCAGTATTCTCATCCACTCCCGTGGAGGAGTTCAAATGCCTAATTTATACTTCTGAGAGAAGTGGAGATAAGGCTGCAGTCGAATTACCTATTGGTGCCACCACAAATGGGGAGGTAAGGAGAGGTAAGGGGAAGGGGGGCAGCCACTGCCTCACTTGGTGTATTTATTATCTGTAAATGAGAGCTAAGAAGAGTTTCAATTACCTTTGGTCAGGCTGCTCCTGGGCTGTGGGACTTGTGAATAGAACCATGAAATATTCACATCACTCTCTCTTCCACCCCACTGAGCAGCCCATCATCCCCATGAGGGGTTTGCAACTAACACACCTCGTTAATCCCTTCACCACGTATCTCAGGACCTCAGGTCTCATTCCTACAAGCAGCACTCACCTTAATCAAGGACATTTGTGTGTCTCAAGCTCTGCCAGTGAGGAGGGGCACAAGGAGCCAAGAGAGAGCAGAAACAGGACGCCTGACCCGAACTAGCTGAAGGCATATCCACAGCATATCGGGCCCAGTATATAAACCAGGGGGAGTTACCCAGAAGGGACAGGCTGGTCATTGTGTCAGCAGGTGGTGAGCAATTGTATTATGCATCACTGCTGTTCATTGTTGCGTTTTTTTCTTACCCCCTTTTAGTTTTATATATATCTTTTATTTCCCTTTTTAGGAGTAGTAGAGTTATACTAAAATCTAATTATTAAACTCTTCTTATCTCAACCTGTGAGTTTTACATTCTTCTGATTCTTCTCCCCATCCTACCCAGGGGGGGAAAAGGGGGTGAGCAGCTGTCCAAGGAGCTGGCAAGAGGAGCCTGGAGCAGCTTCATGTGAAGTTCACTTTGGGCTTGGACTTGAGGTTCAAGCTTTAATCCAAAAGAACCATTTTCTGGACCACAGCTTCACTTCTGCCTGGCTTGTGAGGGACAGCAGCACAGCACCCACAGGCTCCATCGTTGTCTTGGCTGCATCCTTGCATATCTCATGATGGAGATGGTCTGAACTGCCAGGGATGCGACCCGGAGGTTGTCTCTTAGCAAAAGCCGTAGGGCTGCCACAGAAGGGAAGAGAACAGAGCTGCAGAGAGCCCAGGCGAGGGGGGACGGGTGTTCTGCGGGTACGGCAGGCTCCGAGACAGATTCCTCAGCTCTGCTCCTGTCCTGCTGGAGAGAGCACAAGGGCACAGGGATGGTACAGACCCACCCCGGTTGCCCGGACTGGTCTCTTCTCCCAGCACCCCACAGCCCCATTGCTCCGTAGGCCATTTCCATCTCCCAGCCAGGGGCTCTGTGGGGCTGAGGTTCAGAGACAGCCACAGGAAAAGTGGGGTCTGAAGGTCCTGCAGGGGCTGTCTGAGAGCCCCCCATGGATGCTCAAGGTCAAAGGGTGGGGCATGTGAGGGGTAGACTTTGTTCCCATGTGTGTACTCATCCAGTAGAGTTACAAAAATGTGTCAAATTATTGGTTTTGTTAAATACACACCTAGCACTGTTTAACAGAGCAGCTTCTGTCAAAACACCTGTGTCAGGGGTCCCCTCCACTCTTTCCTTACCTTTTTAAGGTGGATCATGACAGTCTATGTCAGAGAGATGCAAGAAAGTTACCTTTATATTTCTTTCGTAAACATCCTGAAATCATAAAATCATAGAATCGTTAGGGTTGGAAAGG